ATTGTAAATAAAGCAGCAATAAACATGGGGGTGCAGGTGTCTTTTTGAATCAGTGTTTTTGTGTCCTTTGGGTAGATCCCTAGGACTGGGGTTGCTGGGTCTAGGGAAGCTCCATGTTAGGCAGTTTGAGGCGCCTCCACGCAGTTTTCCATAGTAGTTGTACCAGTTTGCATTCCCACCAGCAGTGCAGGAGAGTTCCTTTCTCTCCACATCCTTTCCAGCATTCAACAAAACCCTTTTTAATGAGGCTGAAGGAAGCGGCTGCAGCTCAAATGAGCCAATGCCAGCACACTAGCTCCTATGTGCCTGGCGCAGGCAGGGCGATGGGACACGGCAGTGCTGGCCCTGCCGCCGAGTGGACGCTGTCCAGGAGTGGGGTCGGCGTCGCCAGCTTCTCTCGGGCTGCTGTCACCTGGCTGAGACTGCACCTGCACGCACGGGCCAGGATGAGGCTGCGCAGGCGGCCAGCAGGGGCAGGCAGGATGGACGCCGTGGGGGCTGCAGCGTCACTGGCATGTTCTGGTGAGCAGGACACACACGTGGTCCCCCGGGCCCACTCTCCCGGGTGGCCGCCTGGTGTGGCCTGTGGACAGTGGTGTTTGTGGAAGTAAGTGACCTGCAGGATGCGCTGTGAGGCCTGGGCCTGAGCTGGGAGGTCTGTGCCGCCCCAGCGCATTGCATGTCCACCGTGGCCAGCCGGGCCTGTGCTTTGACACAGTGGCCACAGACACGGCCCAGGTCACTGGTTACTGTCTGAGTCCTTGACCGCACACACAATTGCCAGATTCCTCAGGCTCAGGAAACCACAATGGAGGGTTCAGTTAGCAACCAGGGACAGCAGAGTTACTGGGGCCAGACATGGCCTTTTGCACCCAAAGCGTGTCCAGTGTTTTCCAGTCCTGAGCAAAGACAGGGCCAGTGGCGTCTTCCTGCCGCCGAGGACACGACTCTCCTCCCCGACAGCAGCCACGAGACGGAGATGGCGCCTGGGTGCCGCTGGGCACGCGGAGCCAAGCTCCGGCCGGATCTGACCCCAAGGCGGCAGAAGGCACCAGGGAGCGCTCGTGGGTGCCAGGGCCAGCACCAGACGAGCGGCCGATGACCCGGCCAGTGGCCACACTCAGCGAGACGCTGGCGCCGGTCTCCTGTCCTCCCCGCCAGGCCACACCAGCCTTTTATTTATTTATTTTAAAAAAGATTTTATTTAGAAATACAGAACTGGGGTACAGGCCAGAGGTGCAGGATTCACCAGAGACAGAACAGGCAGATGCATGAAGTCCACTGCTGAGGGGAGCAGCGGGGAGACAGGAGGGGTCTGCCGCGCCCTGTGGGTCACCTCCGGGGCGGGGATCGAGCTTGCAGTGGGGCAGCTGCGTCCAGCTTGCAGGGCTGCGTCCTGACCCGCTGCACCACCAGGGGGTCTTTTAAAAGATCAGTGCGGTGGGGCCCACATCTGCGAACCCCAAATGCTAAATTACAAAGACTGCTCCCCAAAGGCTGCTCTCAAGCTCCCCCCCACAGTTGCTTCTAACACTGACCCTTCCCCCACCGCGCTTCTAGCACTTTCCTGGGGCCGTCCGTCTTTACCAGCACCCCCCTCCACCTGGAACAGTCTTTTGGCCTCAGCCACTGGGTGCAGCTTCTCTTTTCTTCCTGGTCCTTGTTGAGCGGGGCAAAGGTTAAAAAAAAAAGGCATTTTGGGGCCTCCTTGGTGGCACAGGGGTCAAAGCCTCAGTCCTATGGCGCTGTCACCAGCTACTGTGGCCTGAGTCCGGTCCCTGCCCAGGGAGGGACCCACAGGGTGCAGCACACCCCTCCTGACCGCCCGCTGCTCCCCTCAGCAGTGTGTTCAGTGGCTCTGCCTGTTCTGCTCCCCACTCTGGCTCTGGGGAATCCTCTCACCCCCTGCACCTCTGGCCTGCACCCCAGTTCCTGTGTGCATAAATAAATCTTTTTACAAACGACGGCATTTCCTCTTCCTGGAAAGTCACTCTCCAGGGAGACGAGCTGTGCAGGCCCACGCGCAGTGGAGCTCGCTGCCAGCCGCCTCTTCTCAGCGGGCGCGGCTGGGCCCGGCAGAGCCAGCGGGAGCCCGACGCAGGGCAGGCGCTGTCCAGTGCGTAAGTCCCCACACAGCGACTCATCGCATTTCTCCATCTCCCCACATCCTCGCCCCCATAACGCAGCGAACTCATCAACTTACTTTATCTTTCGTAAGTAACATGTCTTCCCAAGTTACTGGGAAGTGACGGTAACTCAACCGGCCGTTCATGACCTACTGGGGCTGCGCTGGGCACCATGGAGTGGGCGTTTGCTCTCCGTGATGCCTCTGTCTGGTGAATCTGGCAAGACCGGGCGCTGCTCGTGCTAAGGACACAGCCGAGCGGCAGGCTTGGCCTCTGACCTTCGGGGTTCGAGTCCAGGGGGGAGCCACCTTGGTCAGATACGCAGGAGCCTGGCGACCAACGCCGACTGGCGTCTGCGGGGAGCCGGGGGCGGGGCGGAGGGGCCATGTGGCGCCGTCTGGGCCGAGGCGGCTTCTCTGCATGCAGAAGGCTGGGGATCAAGCACTGAAGGCGGGCACGGGGCGGGGCTGATGGAGGCGCAGGACAGGGGGGCGCGCACGTGTCCGGAGCTCGGTGGCTGCGGAGTGTGGCGAGGAGAGCGGGTGCTTAGCCGGAGCAAGGGCGGGGGCTGGGGAGGGGTGTGGGCGTGGACTCCCTACCCTGCCACCAGTGTGGCGCGCACACCCAGAGGGGCGGGGGTCAAGAGGGGAGGCACGGAGGGTGCTGAGGTCCGGGAAGCGGTGGTGCTGGGCTGGCCAGAGGGCGCCCACGGGGTGGGCAAACGAGCGACAGCAGGGAAGGGGGCTGGGGGTGGCCGGGGGACGGCCCCAGGGCGACTGCGCCCCAGCTTTTGTGGCCAGACAGCCGCCGCGCCCCTCCCGAGCTGTCTGGGCGTGTTGAGTCCAGGGTGGCGTCGAAGCTACCAGGAAGAGCCGTGGGCGGGCCTGAGGACGGGTAGTCTGGGCGAGGCCAGAGGTACCGGGGAGCCTCTGGTGTGGGGTAGTGATGGGGACCTGTCGCCAGCGAGCAGAGGAAGCTCGCAAGGGACGGGCGGCCTGATGGACGCCCACGTTGAATGGCTGGGAAGGTGATGCCGGTGGGCAGAAGCGCCACCGTGGAGTGGACGGTTGAAAGGGTGCAGATGTTTCAAAAAGGAGAGCGTGGTCAAGAGGAGGACAGGGTGTCGCTGGAGTGGGCTGCGTGACCGCACCTGTGCGCTGCGTGCTCTGGGGTGAGACTGGCAGGCGAGAATGGGGAGCCCCCGTCTGGCAATAGGACATGAAAGGGGGGTGTGAGGCGTGGCAGAGGGAGGGTGTGGGTTGCCGTCCTCCCTCCAGCACCTGCCAGTAAGGGCCGAGGGTTCCAGAGTCACCAGCAGGGGCGGCCCGTGGTGGCTGTGGAGGGTCCAGGCGTCCATACAGGGGCGGGCTAACTCCTCGGACACTCAGCCAGGTGTGCTGGAGTCCCAGGTGGGCAGATGGGGACCAGCGTGGCAGAGGTCGGCTCCGAGCACGTACCGGCCTTGGCGACCCAAGTAACGCGCGTTTTCCCGTCGTCTTTTCTCCTTGGCCTGAAAGATGCCCCTCCCCGAATACGGGTGTCACGAACGGGTGCCAATGGGGGGGTGGACCAGACCTCTCAGCGTGCGCTTAGTGTGGGGTCCTCCCCGGCGGGTGCAGCGCCATGAGACTGAACGGAGGGCAGGGTGTGGGAGGGGCTTTCGGGAGCGGGACAAGGCCTGGCCAACCTGACTGTGTCTTTCTCTCCTTTTCTCCCTTTGCAGTCAACTTCGACCATTTTCAGATTCTTCGGGCCATCGGTAAAGGGAGTTTTGGAAAGGTAAGATCGTGAATCCTTCGGCACTTTGTGGGTGAAGCATGAGCCCGACCCCCGGGCGTGTGTGAGTGTGTTCGTGTTGCTCGCGGGGCACCGGGGAGTTCCCGTCTGACAGAAAGGCTGGGACCTGCCAAACTGGAAATGGGAAGGAAGCTCGAATAGTTCGCCTGAATCTGCTGTAATTTCATTCCAAACACTAAATTACCACAGCAGCCCTGGTTTAGGTGAATTACAGTGGTAATTATTTCCAGACTGCGAGTGCCGTTTCTTCCTTGAGGATCTCAATGAGGAAAGTGGAAAAAATCCACAGGCTGTGAGCTGGGCCGTAGCTGCTCTTCCCTGCAATATAGGCATTTTATTCGAACATGTCGAAAGAATAGCTTCAAATGTGTAAGTGCACGATATACTGTTGTTGACAACTGTTGTATAACTGGTCTTTTTTTAGCTCGCTGATTTGCCCTTCTGAAAAGCAAGCCCATTAACTAGGAATCATGCGGTATCTATGTTTCCGTGACTGGATTCTTTCACTTAGCTTAATATCCTCAAGGTCCCTCCATGTTGCTCTATTCTACAGCGTCCCTTTTTAATGACTGGATAGTATTCCTCAGCATGCACATATCACATTTTCTTTATCTAGTCATCTATCCATGGGCGTTTAATTTGTTAGCACACCTAGGCTACTTTGAATAATACTGCAATGAAATAGGAATGCTAATATCTTTTTGAGATATTGATTTCAGTACTTTTGGATGAAAGCCCAGAGAGAGGTTGTTGGATCATATTTATTCGTGGTTCTAATTTTAATTTTTGAGGAACCTCCATGCTGTTTTTCAGAGCAGCTGCAGTTTTGCCTTTCCAGAAACAATGCACAAAAGCTGACATTTCTCCTTGCCTGCATTCCTTGTCTTTGTTTCTTGGCAACAGCTGTCCTGACAGATGTAAGATGGCATCTCATTGTGGTTTGACCTGCATTTCCTTCCAGGATGCTGAGATTTTTTCATAGATCTATCAGCCATTTCTTTATCATCTTTGAGAAAAGTCTATTCAAGTCTTCGGCTCATTTAAAAATAATATTTATTTACTTATGCATAAAAAACTGGGGTACAGGCAGAGGTGTGGGGGGTGAGAGGCTTCACCAGAGACAGACTGCGGAGCGGAACAGGCAGATCGACGAAGTACACTGCTGAGGGGAGCAGCGGGCGGGTCAGGAGAGGCTGACGGGGGAGCATTGGGGCAGTGGCTGCGGACAGCTTCGTAGTGACGTGCTTTAAGCCGTGTGTCACCAGGCAGAGCCCTGGCCCATTTTCCAGGGGCACTAATATTTTGTTTAATTGCTGCCGAGTGGTAGGAACACCTGGTGTATTTTGGAGACTAACCCTTTATTAGGTGTGTGGTTTTGCAGGCATCTTCTCCCATCCCGTAGGCTGCCTTTGCTCTCCAGGATCATTTCTTTGCTATGCAGACGCATTCTAGGTAGATTTCATCTCTTTTGTGTGTCGTTACTTTTGTTACCTATGATTTTAAGTCTCCTGTCCGTGAAATCCTTGCTAGACCAATGTCACAAAGATTTCCCTTATCTTTTCTTCTAGGAGGTTAACCGTTTAGGTCTTCATGGTTTTTAATCTACTTTGAATTTATTTTTGTGTATGTGACAGGAGGGTCCAGTCTCTTTCTTTTGCATACAGGTATTCAGTTGTCCATTTGTGGAAGTGACTACCCTTTCTCTATTGTGTATTCTCGGTGCTTTTGTTAAAGATCAGTTCATCATATATTCATGTCTTTATTTCTGGACTCTTTATCCTGTTCTGTTGTTCTCTATGCCTGGCTTTCTGCCAGTACCATGCTGTTTTGATGACCACAGCTCTGTAATATATTTTGAAGCAAGACATAGGATACCACCATCGGGATTTCTATTTTTCTAAAAAGTGCCAATCCAAAAGTGCACTAAATCTGGCCCACTATGGACATTTTGATAATATTAAATTTTCCCAGTTTAATATTGGAAACTGACGCCTTTCCATTGTGCCTTAATTTCTTTTATCAATGTTTTATACCTTATGATCTATAAGTCTTTCTCTTCCTTGGCTAAATTCATCCCTATGTCTATTGTTCTTTGTGGTGCTAGTGTCAATGGAATTGTTCCCCAAACTTCTTTTGTATAGTTCACGATTAGTTTATAGAAATACAATATTTTTGTATTTGAGTTTGAATCTTGCAAGTTCACGGATTTATCAGTTTGAAAACTTTTTATGTTGTCTTTGGGTTTTCCAGACATTGGGTTTTCATGTCACCTACAAACAGGGACCATTTCGCTTTTTCCTCTCCATTCTAGAGGCCGTTTTTCTTTTCTGTGCTAAGGGATCGCACCAGGACTGTGTCAAACAATATTTGCAAGCGCCGGTATCCTGACCTCGTTCCTGTCAGTTTTCCTCCATGACATTAACTCTGGTCTTTTCCTACCGACCTTTATTTCTTTCTAGTCTGTTTGTGGAGGGTTTGGGTTGGGCTGGCCAGGGCCAAGGGTTTCTGACCCATATTCACCCGGGCTATCCGTGTGTAGTTCTGTTGATTTTGTGTGGCCTTGCTATCAGAGCAATGCTGCCTCTTAAAATGAGTGCACAGGTGTTCCTTCCTCTTCGATTTTATGAGTTTGAGAAAGACCAACCAATTATCCTTCAAATGTTAAAACTCATCGGTGAGGCCAAACTTACTGGGTTTCTACCTGCCTTTGGCAGGTCCCGCATCTGGCGTTTGTTAGGAGTTGGAGAGAGACGTTGGCTGCCGGCCACACCGCCTTGGCTACCCGGAAGGAGCACTGAGCCGTCCGGGCAGTCGCCTTTGCCGTCCCTGCGGGAGAGTCCAGCCTCCCGTGGCCCAGCACCAGTGCCAACAGCGCTTCTCTGGCGCTCTGTGGACGGAAAGCGAAAGGTGGGGTGGGGGGTAGTGGCCTGCTTTTGACGGTCAGCCTGCCTGTCAGCCCCGTGTCACCCTGGCAGTGACCCCTTCCTGCAGGAACACCTCCGGCAGGTGGGCCCCCTCCCCCGGTGCACACGTATGTGGGCCCCACATGCTACTGTGGCACACATGAGGAGGCGGATGCCGAGCAGCTGGTGGGACCCCGCTGACCCGTCTGCACTCCCTCGAGGCCAGCGTCCTGGCGGGGCTTTGCCCTGCGGCCTCTCTCATTACCTCCGTCCCTCCTCCAGCCCTCGCTGCCCACCGGCACAGGGTGCTCCTGACCCTCGGACGGTGGTGCCAGCAGGCGCTCTGCTTCTGTGCCAGCACATACAGTTCAGGGTAAAGTGTTCCACGCTGTGTTAACTTTGAAGTCAACAGGGCTTAATTATTTCCAAAGAAAGGAGAACTTTCTGAGAAGTTTGCTCAAAAGTGTTTTTCTTGGATTGGCAAGTGGTCTCTCTGCTTGGAGAGCTGTGGCGTTGAAACAAAATAAACAGGGAGTTAATTAAAATTCACAGGCTAGCCAGAGGCGGTCTGCTCATAAAATAGCAGAAAGTGGCACAAAGTTATATGATAATAGCTCTTTATGTCCCTCAAAGGAAGATTCTGGATAAAATTGAGCGAGAGTTGCACAAATGATAATTCCAGACTCAACACTGGCTTATTATGCAATGATGATGGTTTCCATACCAAGCGTGTTATTAGTCGTCTCATTCACATTCCAAACTTCCACATCTGCATGTGAATTCATAGTGTGAAAAAGTACTGGATTAATAGCAGACTCGCTAATTTAGCACCCCCAAGGCAACAGATCCATTTTGGAATTAAGCGGGGATTAGCTTTAAGTGTGTGTGCGTGCACGGTGTGTTTATAAGTGTGAGTGCTCAGAAACATTTACTCACCGGGGTTGATTTTTCCCTTAAGCATGTGAGCTTCTGGAATCGGCTTGACCTTTCAAGCCGGGGCCTTCGCGGAACGGGAGCAGCGCGGAAGGGCAGAGCTTGAGGTCGGACAGAAGCCACCCGGGCGTGTCCTGCGCCCGGCGTGCCCTGGGCTCTTGGGACGGTGTGGCAGGGAAGCTGGCCAGGCCCCGGGGCCCCGGGCTGATGGTTGAGTCCGAGACAGCAGCCAGCAGCCAACAGGATGCTGTCAGTGGTGACATTGCCCTGTGGACGATGTTCCGTGTAAAGACCCCGGACACCAGCGCTGCTGCCTGGCGGGAAGGCCAGCAGGAGGAGGCCAGAGGCCTCTTCCAGGAGGAGGCAGCCAGCTAACCGCTCAGCGCCGAGAAGGAAGCCGGCTGAGGCGGGGTGCGGGGAAGAGCGCTGTAGGCAGGAAGAGAGCAGAGGTCCTGAGGCGGGGTCCTGAGGCGGGGCCTGGGGGGGGCTGGGTCCAGAGTGGGGTCCCGGCTGGGCCCAGGGTGGGGTCCCGGGCCGGGCAGCGGCAGCTGTGTGTAGGACGCCCACTCGCACCCGCACCGTGCCTGCATGGCCCCGACTGTGCGCTCGCCCTCCTGCTCCGGGTGGGGGGACACCCCTCGGTCGTGGGATGGGGGCGTCTGCTCCAAAGCCTCAGGGCGCAGAGCTGGAGTTCGTAACCACTGTGATGATTCCAGCAGGTCCCGGGCTGAGCGGAAGGTGAGCTGTTATTCTGTGGGAACCGTTTCTGGAATTCCTGGACAGGAAATTGCCAAGAAGCCGTTCTTACTTGCGCAGACATCCTTCTCCAGGATGGACTCCGTTCCTCTCCGACGAAATATTTAGGCATTTCCTATCTGTTAGGTGTTTGCTTGGGGCACACAGGCTCCCCCCCGCCCCCCCGCCCCGTGTAAGGGGCATCAGCCAGCCGCCAGAGTGGCCTTGTTTGATCTGCACACCACGGGGAATGTGCTCACGGCACAGGGCTCCCGGCGCTGCCCAGAGCGGCTGCTCAGTACTGGCCGGGCGTCGCCCAGTACTGGCCAGGCCACCAGCCCCCCTTGTTCACTTGGCGGCCCTAGCTGGGCCCTTAAGAGTGTCGCCATGTGGGTTTTTCACAGCCACAGCGTCACCCCAAGGTCCACTCCCAGCCTTAGGTCAGGCGCACAGGGCTGGTCCTGGGCTGTGACTCCGGGGAGTGTGTGTTGCACGAATGTATTTAGAAAACACACCATCGCCCCTAAACCTGCCTCCACACTGTCATCCTCCCTGCGGTCGGAAAGACACCCCCTGCAACCCGTTTGTTTATTCTTCACTGTGGGAGCAGCCCAAGGCTGTCCCCCAGGAGCAGGGGCGAGGGGCAGCTGCCTGGCACGTGCCCACCGCCGCCGCGCGACTCTCTGGCCTGAGCCCTCGCGTGGGCGGCGGGTAGACACCAGCGGGCGGCCCAGAGACGCTGGCGCAAGGTGGCTTTTCCTGCCGCCCGGGGTCTCCCGCGGGCAGGGCTGCGGCTTCTGCCTCACGCCTGCCGGGCCCTTCCCGGCGGCCAGTCGCAGCCAGCTCTCAGCGAGACCAGTGTCGGCCGTGGCGGCCGGACGAACCCTCCAGCCCCCTCAGAGCCGGCCTGGACCCCGGCTGGGGAGGCGAGGGCCGCCCTCCCCGGAACGCCGGCCTGAACGCGCCCCTTTGCTGCCGCCAGGTGTGCGTCGTGCAGAAGCGGGACACGAAGACCATGTACGCGATGAAGTACATGAACAAGCAGAAGTGCATCGAGAGGGACGAGGTGCGCAACGTCTTCCGGGAGCTGCAGATCATGCAGAGGCTGGAGCACCCCTTCCTGGTCAACCTGTGGTGAGTGTGGTCGGGGGTGTGGGGGTCTCGCCCGTCCACGGGCAGACGGGGGCAGGCAGGGCGGGGCTGCCTGGACCTCTGGGCCCCTCGCAAGAGCTCTCAGGGCGTCTCGGAGGTGCGCGGAGCAGGAAGCCGATGGCCTTGCGTGCGGGCGGCGGCTGTGGGCGCTGCTTGTGCTGGGCAGCGAGCCTGACCTGCGGCCTCCGGGACTAGTCCTGCGTGTCCATGGCCGCCTGGCGGGTCCTTCCGGTGGATTTCGGAGGAGAAAGGCGAGGCTGTGCCCAGGCTTATGGCACCCCGAGGGCAGTGGCCACCAGCGAGCGGCTCCGCGAGCCCGGGGCGTGTCTTCCTGACCCGTCTTCTCTAAGCGGGCACTCTGGCCGTCTCCGCGCTGCTGAGGTTGGCGCTCGGACCCTGGAGGTGACGGTCTGTTGTCTTGGGCAGATGCCCGGGAGTGGGGTGATCGGGTCTCACTTGACTGCGTTGGTTAGTTTTTTTGAGGTGAACCCTAGAGTGCGTTCTGGAAAGACAGCACCAGCTTGCTTTCCCGTGCTCATTTCTTTAGGGAATTTGCCCGCCACCGGAATGCAGGGCAGCCTCTGAGGCCGGGTGCCGTGTGCCGGGGTCTGCCTGGTCCCAGGACCCCACAGCAGTGTCTGGGCACCAGGCCTTGCTTGCGGACTGGGTGTGCTCGTCGGGCTGTCTGCCCCGCCTGCATCACCTGGGGCCCCCCAGGTTCTCAGCGGGTGCAGGAGAAGGGTGGGCGATTGGGAGCCCCGGGGCGCCGCTGTCTTCACCAGAAGCCCCGAGGGCCGGGACTGTGCCTCATCCCCGGCCCCTGACAAGACGCAGCACTTTCTGCACGGATGGCCCGTCACGCTGAGTTTAAAACGCAAACACGTGTGCCCGCGCATCTGAACCGTGAACTCAACTGCTTCTTGATCTCAGAAATCGTCTTCAGCTTTCATTTTTAATTCCTTTCTCCATAATTCACAACAGAAGGGCACGCACCATCAGGCTGCAAATGTGTTCTGCTAGAGACGGGCCCACGCTGCATGAATAAAGTGCTGTCTGAGCCAGCCCGGCCTCCACGCTGCTGCTTCCACGTCCCCTTCCTCATGCGGGTCCCCCGACTCCCTCCACGCACCTTTGACTGGTTAAAAGAAAAGTTGAAATGACCTTGCAGCGTCATTCTCCAGTTTCCAGAAGCTAAATTGACTCTGACACCTCGGAGAAGGAAGTTGGGAAGCCTTTCCCGTGGCCCCTCCTGGACACGTGTGCACCACGTGGATATCCAGAACCGGCCTCGTACTGCAGGTGGCCCTCACCCAAGGCCCTTTGGCTCGAGAGCTGTGCCGTATCAGATGCCGTGGGGCAGGCAGGCCGATGAATGAAAGCGCCGGGTGTGCGAGGCGCTAGGGAGTGGCGGGGACTGTGGCCAGCAGGGAGTTCGTGTTGCTGGGAATCCCCGCCCTTTGGGAATGACACAGGGGAGCTTCGGCCTGGCGGGGATCACCCAGCCCTGTAGCTCACCCACTACCTGGGGCTGGCCTCTGTCCCCACGTGTCACACTCTTGATCTCGTTTTGTGGCATGATGGCAGGTGGCTCCATGCTTTCGAGCAGAGCCCTCTGCAGTCCTTTCGGCTGCTGAAGGAAGGAGTGCGGGAGAACGAGCCTTTCCGGCCGCAGCCGCTCCAGCCTCTCCTTGCCCCTCTGTCATTTTCTTCAGCGTGTATGCCACTCAGCAGCGGCTGCTCTGTTCACCCTTCACTCACCTGCTTATTTACCTCCTTCTCCGGCATAGCGCACCGTGGTTTCTGGGCGCTGGAACTCGATCCCAAGATTCCAACCATTCACCGTGGCGGAAGGAAAGAGGACAGGAACGGGGAGTGGCGTGCTCTGCTTTCCCGGCCATCTCTGCCCTGAGCTCGGCCGTGTCTGGGTGCCCCCACCCTTGGCCAGCTCTTCCATGCGTGTTTGCCTTTGGGTTTATCTTGCTGTTATTAGTTGCCTTTAAAGAGCCCTGGCGCTGCTCACGTTCCGATGCCCTTGCCGTGAGCTACGGCTGACTACATCGTGAGCGCCCCACCCCACTGGCCGAGCCCTGCCGCCATGTCTCTGTAGAGCAGGCGCTGCTGCTTTGCCAGCGGGCGCTACCCAAGATTCGCCGCCGTATTCCCGCAGGCAGTGTCCCTTAAGCAAGCCTGCCCCGCTGGCTTGCGTCACGCGGACCCCTCCCTGTGCTGGGCTCTTCCTACCCCACAGAGTGCGAGCGGCCCAAGCCCTCGGGGCAGGTGGGGCGCCAGAGGCGGATTTCATCGCAGTTTGCCGTTACCCTGAGTATGAAACTGTGCCTGTGTTCCTGATTACGTGGCAAACACAGATTCCCAGGCGTCAGCAACTGCCGGGAGGTCGGTTGAGTCGTGTGTGCGCTGCGTCTCGGGCCCACGCGGGAGGCACCACCAGTGGTGACGGCAGAGCTAGAAGGCGCCTGACGGTCACCTCCAGGCGCGCCCCGCATCCAGTCAAGCAGGTAGATTTTCAGATTCCTGGCCATTCGTTCAGGAGATGCTTTCTGGGTGCTGTTGCGTTGGGTCTGGAAGACGAAGCTGGAGAAAGCTGTCAGGCTTCGCTCTGGGGATGGGCCTCCCTGGG